AAACCATTGTAGTCTGAAAAAGCAGACGCTACTAACTTTTGTAGTCTCAAAAAGCGGACACTATTAACTTTTGTAATGAAAAAAGCGGACACTACAATCCATTGTAGTCCGAAAATGCAGACACTACTAACTTTTGTAAAAAGCGGACACTATTAACTTTTGTAATGAAAAAAGCGGACACTACAAACCATTGTAGTCTGAAAAAGCAGACACTACTAACTTTTGTAGTCTCAAAAAGCGGACACTATTAACTTTTGTAATGAAAAAAGCGGACACTACAATCCATTGTAGTCCGAAAATGCAGACACTACTAACTTTTGTAAAAAGCGGACACTATTAACTTTTGTAATGAAAAAAGCGGACACTACAAACCATTGTAGTCTGAAAAAGCAGACACTACTAACTTTTGTAGTCTCAAAAAGCGGACACTATTAACTTTTGTAATGAGAAAAGCAGACACTACTAATTTTTGTAGTCTTTGTCTGACCTTTGTGGTCTATGTCCAACTTTTGTAGTCTATTAGTAAACTTTGTAGGCTGTAACTTACTTTTGTAGTATATCAGCAATCTTTTGTAGTCTGTCAGTGTCAATTACCCTTTTAGGGCATGTACCTTCCTTTTTGGGAGAAATTTCCCATGATACAATAGTTGTAGCCCCTTCTCTTAGCTTTCTAAATCTGTTGAAATCATGTTGTTTAGTGTTCTTTTCATGTAGAAAAATGCAAAAAACAAAAAAAAACGCGGCGCTTTTGAAAACCTTTTACCTCATATCTCCACAATGGAAGCACTTTAGGACATAATTCCAACTGATTCAGGAAGCTATGGTAAAGAGCTACAACTTTTGTTTTTTTACCATTTTTGGAAATTGGTCATGTGACCACCCTCCCAATGACCCATTGGATGGACCATAATATGACCTAGGGAATGAGATATTTATTGAAATTGCACAACATTAATTATGAAAAGTCCAATGAAAGCATCCAATATTCCTAATGAAATATTCAATGAAAGCCCACAGCATTAATTATGAAAGAGGCAATGAATACACCTGACCTAAGGAATGAGATATTTATTGAAATTGCACAACATTAATTATGAAAAGTACAATGAAAGCATCCAATATTCCTAATGAAATATTCAATGAAAGTGCACAGCATTAATTATGAAAGAGGCAATGAATTCACCTAACATAGTCAATGAAATATTTATTGAAATCACACAGGATTGATTATGAAAAAAGCAATGAAAGCGCCCAAAATTCCTAATGAAATATTCAATGAAAGCGCACAGCATTAATTTTGAAAAAGGCAATGAATACACCTAACCCAGTGAATGAAATACCTATTGAAAGCACACAGGTTTAATTATGAAAAGTACAATGAAAGAACTGAACAGCTTCAATGAAAAATTCATAGAAAGTGCATGATAATAATTATGAAAGCTTTTATGAAAGCTCCTAAGAAATGTTATGAAAGGGTCCTGTGGTCTTTGCCTACATTTTATGAAAAGAACATAGCCTTTATGAGAAAGAATGACACAGGGCACACCTATGAAAGGCCTTTCATAAAACTTGTGGACTTATACACACAGCTCTACAGGCAAGTGCCTTAGTTTTATGATAAAGATGGTAGCCACTTGTGACGTATGCTGGGCAAAACAGGCAGGGCCCATAGACCTGAATGCGGCGTTAGCCCATCATCTTGAGGTCAACAACCCTCCCCAGGAAGGCCACCTTTTCGCATACCGCCACAAGAACAGCCACCGGCCACTCACGAAGTCCAAGTTCCTAGCGGAACTGGCGAAGGCCGCACGTGCAGCTGGCCTGGAGCCCCTGCAAGGGCATGGCATCAGAATTGGCTCTATGCTCGAATATTTGCTCAGAGGCGTGCCTTTCGATGTCATGAAGGTGAAGGGTCGTTGGTCCAGTGACGCCTTCACCCTGTATCTACGAAAACACGCACAAATTCTCGCCCCATACATACAAGCAGCGCCAGCCGTACACGACACGTTCGTCCGTTTGACCATGCCAGCAGTGCGCTAACAAGGTAAGCATCCGAGCTTCTCCTAATGGGTTGGGTCCGAGACTCACTTGCCGCGTCGAAGACTCCAGATGCCATGGGTGTCGCAGATCGCCTCGGACCCTCTGGGAGACTCTTTGCCAGATCGGAAAGCGCTTCGCGCTTTCGCCCACTTGCTTGCCTTATCTACATATTTATTCATTCGCTATTATCGCTCATTACAAATACTACCTCTAATCAATCGATTTTAAGTGTCATTCCTGCATCTCCATTTAGGCTCAATCTCTGTGCAAACACACAGTGATACTCAAAGAGTACATCTGGTATCTTCATTGAAATAGAAAACTTTTCGATTTCTAGAGCTACCAAAACCTACTAACACCAGCATGCTATCTACTTATAGGTAGCCGGGCCACTACAGCCCGCACAGGCATTGATGACAGCCCATCCAACATTTGAGACAGACAACATGAACGTGCAACGATCTGTATTGGTGATGCCTGAGTTGGTGGTGGAATGAAGAACTGTTGAACACGTGCCATCACCAAGGGGAGGGGGACGAGTGTATGGGCGACGTACCACACAGCTCTTCTAACGCACAGTTTGCCATTGATATACAGGCAGTGGTTGAATTAATGTGGGAATGTTTCGGATCGACGAGACTTGGGTTGGCGATGGAATGGTGAACAGTCAGACACAGCATCGGTCAAATTTTAACAGGTGGTACTCATTCTCTTATACTACAATGGATGAGTAGGAGATGAGGTGCTGAAAGCAGCCAGTTGACCAACTGTGTGAAAGCTATTGATGGTTACACCAAAACAGGCTGAGAGGATGCCGAGACTACTGTCTATGTAAGAGAATGGAGTGTCATCAGATGAACAAGTCAAAACCACATACCACACGTCTTGTGTATGTCTCTAATTTCATCCCTCTTCTGTTGGGCCTAATCATGCTTCTCAAAACAACAGAGCAAACAGAGTTACAAGAAAGATCAGGCCTTTGTAAACAAGCTTAGGCACCGATACCATATAGCATGCACCCTGAATGTTTCAGTGCGCACACGACATCACTCATCGTCAGTAAGTCAAACAAAGAGCTTCTTGAAAACCTTTGTTGGTGAGTTAAGCGAGAACACAGCTAGACCTGTGGCGACCCGAGGAGTGTGCAGCGGCGGTATATGACATGACACAATGTGATGCGAACCTTCTTGCTGTCGAGGAGACAGAATGGACAGCAAGAGATGAGACCATGGTGTTGGTAGGAGAAGAAGGAGGTTTTCGAATTGGCACTTTCACTTTGGCGATAACGCGATAGGAAATTGTGAATTGATTGTGACAGTACAAAATATTTGATGGACAATATCAATATTAAATTGTGAGTAGTTATAATTAGCTTTGGCATATCAGTCGGCATTGTACAAATATCGGTCTTAGCCGTGATATTGAAGCTGGCTGATCCCTGTTGCCATACAAAATCGTCAAATTTGACAATTTTCCTCCGGACAGAATTTCCCGATATTTTGCAAAAATCCTCCAGATATGGCATCAGGCATAGGATTTTCCCAAATTATATCCGGACATTACATCAGGCATAGTATATGAGTGTAGGCAAGGCTCCTGGTGCCCAAAGACCTTAAATTCCAATGTAAGACTGTAATATCTAATCTTCCTTGTCAGCTGTTCCCATTTCAACGTTGTTACCGCCCTTTTTCTTCCTCCCGCTCAATCCCAGTGAAAATTGACCCTGTGCAGATCGGGTTTCTCCAGATCAAATCGATATATTTGCCAATTTCTGGCCATCTCCCCTGTTCAGATCGGGCTCCACCGATCCATTTGGCCATTTTTTAGGGTCGATTTTCACTGGGGCTTGAACCGCCAACTTTACCTCGGCATCAGGAAAATGACACATTGCCTTATTTAGCTTACTTGCACTTGTTTGACTTACACGCGTCTTATGTCTGGAATGGGCCTTGTCAAGGGTCTTCATGTCTGATGGGCAAGACAGTTTCAGACGTAAGACGATTTCAGACAATATAAGATGGGTTCAGACAATTTTTTGGCATTAAAAACAGCCAGACATTTTTAGCTCTTACACATGGCTACAAAGGCATTCAAAGTTAAAGTACGCTAAGCAACAAGACGTTTATGAGCAACGACGTCACTATCCTGCCTTTCGCCTGTTGTCCAGAACAGTGGTGCGCGACGCACGCACAGGCGTTGATTTCGCGCCGATGCATTGTATACAACGCCGCAGACGAGAGAGGTCGGTTAGGCTATGTGGAGGCGTCTCGAGAGGGGTGGGCAACACTGAATGAGGTTGGTGGGAGGTGAGGCTGTGAACGGAGGGGAAGGCAGGCAGCGGCGGTTGGAACGTTGAAAGCTCGAATTTTATACAAGTCATTTAGACTCCGCTTGTTGAACTTGCAGCAAACACAAACCAAACAACATGTTCTGATTCAACAACCAGCTTCACGTGTCACGTTCAACTACCCAACAACTTTGCAACAACACTGGGGGCATTGGCCTATTTATTCACGGAAGATATTGAGAATAAATCAGAGATAAAATAATAAATTTTTCAGGGACAACATGAGCGAGGATATGAAGAAGAAATTTTAAATTTCTTCTTCAATAACATGAGCATCTGACCACAGCTTCAATTATGAATATAATAAAAATATCTTCCAGTTTGATCGATGGAGGATATGAAGAAGATATTGTGACATGTCATGCCTTTCACGTGCCTTGCGACCACGTTTTATCTCTTCTGCCGTTCATCGGGAGTCTGTTCCTCACTCGGAGCTCTCAAGTTCTTGGTTCATGTAAGTTTAAATTTGTGACTATCCCTTGCAAATGTCTGAGCCAACAGCCCCCTAGAGCCCCTCAACGTCGTCACCACATTGAAAGTCCTCTCATTGATCGCATTCAACAAGATCATCCTGCTCATCCTGCAAGAAACCCCTTCCTTGCGACGATTATGGTCCACCCTGCTACCCATCTTGAGACCTTCGATCCGATAAACTCCCGCCGCCAGCTCGAGAGTACAGGAGACCACCCTCACCTCGAGACCATAGGGAGTATTCAGGCCGTCAGCAATTTTGAATCACAGTATTCCTTTTTCAGCAAAATCCCAGCCTTTTTTACTGAGGTCAAGGCCCAACAGCGAGCTGACCATTCGGCTCTGAGAAAACCGGCGTAGCTGCCCACTAGAACCTCCTTTGAGTGTACATCACTTAAGGAGTGGTGTGAAGCACCATGATGGGCCGTGAAATTTTCTTTGCTCTCGCACCCTTCGAGCCGTGACTATTGTCGTCAATGTCCCCTAACTCTGCCCCACAAGAGGACCTACAAAGCTCCAGATCAAAGGTCAGTAAAAGACTGCAACACCAGCCAAAGAAGACACTGACTTGCATGTTCTTATAGCAAAATCACGGCCCTGCAGCGAGCCAGCCCCTGGACTCTTCAATCACTGACCTCGTCGAGTGCCAATGTGAAACGGTGCAGAGTACCGCAACATCAGAAAGCAAAGTGAGATTCTTTTTTTTTCGTGATGATATCAACATGGTACTTAATAAAAGTGATCAAAGATCAGCCACATCCTTGGAGCTGTCATACGTACTGTGTTGCAATCTACCAAGGTATGTCAGTCTCGTTTACAATTGACTAATAATGTGTTCAGATCTTTTGCTAAACCCTCTTCAACGTCTGCTGTAGGCGTCTACACGATATATTGACGTCCGCCAAACGCCCTCTTGACGTCTGGAACGTTGTCCTCTCCTGTTCCATGCTTTCTCATCCTGTCCACGTTGGCCGGACCCCAAAGGACCTCAAGACGACGACTTGACGTCCGCTAAACGCCGCAAGTCAACATCTCTCATAGGTGTTGTGTCCGCACAGAACCGTCTCGATGTTTGTCCTTGTCATCGATGATTTGCCGTTGCCCACCGCGCAACAGGCCCATGGCTCCACCCCTCGACATCTCTCATATGTGTCGGCACGATATATCGACGTCCACCAAACACCATGCTGTTGTCGGTAGTGTTGACATGACATCTGGATGTCTGCACAACACCGTCTCGTGTATGCTTTCCCATTGCCCACATCGCAACAGGCCCAGGGCTCGACTTGTCGACATCTCCCTTATACGTTGATGTTCCCCAAACACCATTCCGTTGTCGGAAATCACACACGGAGACTCATGGACTGTCCTGCCAGTGGACATCGTGGACGTGGCATCCGTTTACCACAGATTGTCCAAATAATGATCTTGTATTGAAAGGTAAGTTTTCGTTGACTTGACGTGCTGAGGTCATTACTTACATTCACAGCCCAGGCCTGGACTCATTGACATCTCCCATATGCGTCGACATGACGTATCGACGTCCGCCAAACACCATGCCGTCGTCGAAAATCACGCACTGGGGTACGTCAACTAGACAAAGGTATTTTATTTTTACTTTTCCTTGCAGTCATACGTCGAGTTACATTGTTTAGTTCAATCATTCGTCCGAGGCCTTGACTTGTCAACACGACATATCGACGTCCGCTGAACACCATGCCGTTGTGGAAAATCAGGACCATCTAACTGATTCCAACAGGCCCAAGCCATGACGTCTCGACATGTTGACGTTACGTAAACACCATCTCATTGTTGAAAGTCACGCAAAGGCACTCTCGGGCCATCCTGGACATTGTGCATGTAGAGTTTTTGGTTGACGTTGTATTGGGATCTTATCGAACTTCTGCAAAATTGCCGCACGTTGGAGCCTTCGGATATAAGTGAGTTTTATGTGTATTTAAATGCTGAATGATTGATTACTGGTTTTGAAGGTCGTTTACACACATTATCGCCTCGTGAACATTTCTCCGCCTTTGCGAGGTCACCAAGTTTGCCCTAACTGCCTTCAACGCCAATCTGTCATCAAGTTACAGCCCATTTGTTGATCGAACTTGCCTCTGAAATAGTTGTAGAACTCTCCGGAGACGCGTACATTTTCGATGTCACCGTTTGTCATAGGACCAGCGCGCGTCCTGACACAATTATACAATGCCTGCCCATGCCTGCCCATCCCCTCGCAAGCGTCCCCCTAATGGTCTTCGCCGCTGTTGCGGTCGACGACCATCACCAGTCTGTGATGCTCATTATCGTTGCTACGTCTCTTTTCGGTGAGTCTGGCCTCGTGTTCCTCATCATAGCTGCTGATTGACATCGTACGACCCCAACCGTCTCCTTCTCAGGTCTCTCCAAGCGAATCCCATTTTTGCGGATACCGCATGTTGTCTTCTTCATTGGGAAGCACTTTGGAACAGGTCCGTGCCGACTTCGGTCTTTGAGACAAGCTCAAGAAATTGGGCTGTGTTTCAGGCGTAATATTGGCGACTGCCTTTATTCACCTTCTCGATGACGCTTTTCGATCTCTCCAATCTCCCCAAGTAAAATCACGCTATCACAACAAAATATACTGGGCTTATCATGTGTGCCTCCCTCCTCCCAGCCAACTCTGTCTCTAATCCAATGTTAGACTATGTTCATTGCTAGCAATCTTTCTTGTAGAATGTGTGTGTTTTTCTTCTACTTTTTGTAGATCCCTCACTGACGTCGGCCCAGACTTTTCTATGACATACATAGACCACCTACACGCAGAGCCTTTGGAGCCTCCAACACGGGAGAACAGCCGCCCAAGCAGCCCAGAGCCGGGCCCATCTGTACTCCGATGTTCAAGTATCAGACCCTCTACGGAAACAACTCCATTACAACACCCTTGGCTGTAGCCATATACTATATTGACTGAACCCACCCACCTAAGTCCATTGCTGGGAGGGTGCATCCTTGCATTGGCCCTAAGCATAGGTTTTTGCAGTAGATATATATATTTCGTTGTATAATAGATCTTGCTTCTTTATGTCTAAATATATGTCAACAATGCACAGTTTTAAATCTGAGGTGATATTTCTGCTCTACAGCTTTGTTTTTTCTAGAAAGAACCTCGGAAAATTCACCAAATATATCTTTAATAATGTTCTGACGCTTCCGAATAGTTTCCCTCCGTCGATTGCAACCATGATAGCTGGATTCGACAAACCTGTTTCGGATGACGTTGGCCTTTTGACGCCTTTGGTACACAATAGTAAACATTGATGTAGGGTGAATTTGATACCATGCGGCCACCTCCGTGTCTGCCAGGCTCTCCTCAAAATGGTATAGATGGCAAGCTCAATTCATTCCCTTTCCTTCCTGTACTAAAACTTTGGACTTTCGCACTGTCCTGGTGAGTAAGACAACATAACTTTCCTGTGCAGATTTGAACGATGCCTTCAGTACACAAATGTAAACAATGGTTGAAGTGGCTACCCATCACCCAGGGCAATCCACCCTTCCCATATAAGAGCAGGAAAAGTAGAATACATGTTACCTTGACTCATGTGTAATGTTTTTATACAAACAAATCGAAGGACAGTGTCAGCTACATGATAATCTAATCATCGTCCTCGAAGAATGCCTCGACGGCCGGATCCAGGACCGTCGCGCTTCCCTCACCACTGTCCTCATCACGCGTAAAGGGTACCAGAGGCTGGTCCCAGAGGCGAGTGAATCGCGCGTGAATATCACGCTGGATACCAGCCTGTCGCGCTGCATACGCCTTCACCCCTTCGCATGCTGCTGCGTCTAGACCTGACCATCCTTCTTGACGGTCGTCCCACCACGACGCCTTCCACTCAAGAGTTCTCCGAACCCTCCTCATCTCTTCTTTCAATAGCATCACCTCCTCCGACCACCGTAAGCTCCTTGCTCGTGCCTTGGCCCACTCGACACGTAGAGCTGAGGAAACTTAGCGCCATGATGTACTCAACCAAAAAAGACGTACCCTCATTCAAACCGTCGTTCAAACCGTCGTCTTCTCCATGCCCTTTTACTCTCCAGATCCATGAAACCACGCGCCTACCCTCCCCGAGTCCCCTTTCAAGGGCAACTCGCCGTTTTTTCGACAAAAGGCGGCCGTCTGGTCCAATCTCATCGTTCGGAATCTCTATGCTAATTTCAGTGCCGTCAGGTGTCGTTAGGTCTCCATCATTCAGCTCCTTCAACTCCCTTTCCCAATCGCCTGGACCGATCAGCTCAAGCAGTGCCTGATGTGTCGCACGGTATTTGACAGTGAGTGCCTTGCACTTGTCCTCAATATGGCTAATCGTGTCTGTGGCTCGCGTATTTGGGTTTTGACCTCGAATGTTTCTGTTGCGAAAGCCAATGAACGACAGCCGACCTCGTTGAAGAGTCCAAATCTTCTCTAGTGCATCCAGGCATTGTGCTTGCCGTAGCCTTGTTTCGATGTTGACCAAACCTGCCTGGCAGTTGTGAATGCGATGATTGACCGGAAGGGCAGAGGGAAGCCACAGCTGCTGGTGCTCGACCTCAGGTTGAACACGTTTCGTCTCAGGAAGGTGCTGCTGAGCTTCCTCCGCTTGAGCAAGCATGACGGCGGCTGCAGGGGTGTAAACATCTTGCAAGTTACGGAACTGTTTTAGCTGACGCATCAGCACCAGCCGCCGTTGTTGTAGTTCATTGTCTCGATGTACCGTCAGTGCCTCGGGTCCCCTCGCATCCCATGCGATGCACCGTCTGAATGACCAAAAATAGTAAGTTGTGGTTTTAACGTGTGACTGAGAACGGCCTCACTGATTTTCCTCAATCAACAAACCCATTGAGATGAATGCGGTTGGTCCAGTTGAATGGACGTGTGGGACACCGGCCGCAAGCTCTTTCTTCTCCTCTTCCAAAAGCTGATTCTTGATGTCATTTTGGGATGCATCTAGAGCAGGGCACGTAAATATATTTATATGACTAGTCTGTATCAGATATGAAAACTTACGAGTGATGAGCGAAACGTAAGGGTTCGGCTTGCTCGGATCTTCCTCCCAATCAAGAACCATCGCCGTCCACTGCTCAATATTGACCCTCCCACCCTCACGGAGAGAGTCCGTAAACTCGTTGAATATTTGAACTTGCCGCTTCTGTTCTTTAACGGCCAGCAGCAGTCGGGAATGTAACGTGGTCCCTGATGGTGAAAGAAGGTTAATAAACAGCCTCATAATGAACGGGCAAAACTTACCGAGTGAGACGTACTTCCTCCAATTATGGTGACCGAAATGGTCATCAAGCGTGTCATGCCGAGATCCTGGGCCCATCTCCTTGGTACTATTGGCCACTCGGTTCATCTCGGCCCAACTCCGCTCAATCCCCTCGCCATCAGTTCGCCCCACGCCTGGCTTGAAGTTCAGCGAATGCGGTGCTTGACATGGTAGTTTATGCATGGGGCAGTGGCACTTAGGTATGCCCCAATCGGTGGAAACGCCATTGGGTAATTTTAGGTGGTCGGGGAGAGCTTCCATGCGGTTAAAAAAATTGACTTTGAACTGGCAGGTGATGTCGTATGATATAAAAATGCCGAGGACCAGTACGGGAGCGAGCGCCGACAGCAGGATGTAATCCATGTTGCAATATCTGATCGCGTTCTATTAGCTTCGTATTGTTACAATCAAAGTGGACAAACCTTTCTCCCTTCTGGAGATCGCCTACTCCACCACTTCTTACAATTTCGTGACGGGCGCACAAAGCCATGCCGACCCCTGTTGAGTGCAGCCCCGCTGAAAATTTGGTTTCAGCATGGGCCAAGGTTCTGAATCCGCTGCAAGAGCTAATCTGAAAAAAGGATTTCATTAGAAACCATATGTGGGAGAATTGAAATGAGCTTACATCCTTTTGTGTCGCGTACTTCAAAACGTGCTTGCGGTATGGCTCGTCGTCGGTGAAATAAGCCATTCCGGTATGTAAGCCAGGGTCCTTCTTGATCGACGACCGCATCAGGTTCTTCAATCGAAAGTTCGCATCCAAGGCTAGGATTAAAGTATAAAGAAACCTGTAAGATTGTCAGATAAGTAGGACCAAGATGGCGGGAAGTCGTACCTCATTTCTTTGGGAACTTGTTCCCATTCATTTTGCAGATTGATGCCGGGAATCGGACAAGCAGGACAAGGGACGGTCAAATCCGAGCGACTGGTACTAATGAGACCGTTCTTGATGTTTCCCCGACCGTTGCGCTTCATCAGTTTCAGATGGCGGAACTCACGTATCATACGCATAAATGATTTGTAACGTGTCTGGAAGAAAACATCACTTTCCGCCAAACATTCAAAGGCTCGGCTTACCTTAGGAACATTGAGGCTAGTGTTGTCCGTGAGATGCTCGAGCGCTTTGTAGAATTCATGAGCTGACAGCTTCCCAGTAAGGGTGACTGTGTGGAAGAGCTCGAGTAGGCGAAAAGTGGCGCAAGTCTGTGGGTAGTGGACAGTTGCTGGATACCACTCGACTCGGAGTAGTTGTTGCCGACTTGTTATGCGGTGGTCACAGCCACAAAAATCGACCGCGACGTAGTGTAAGCCGTTTGTATGAAGGACTATAAAGTCCTTGTGACCTGGCCTCGGGACCAGGCAAGGGGAACCCATGTGCCCGAGTTGCACACGTAGTCCCATATCCCTCAGTGTTGTTTTTTGGAAGAAAGTCTGGTTCCATTCCTACGTGGGTCAGCACTAGATCATCCAACAAAAGCGGAAGTCGTACCTGGATGATGTGAAGTGGCAGGTAACGGTGCTGCTGAAGGCAACAGCTACGACACTCGAGTACCCCCCCTAAGCAATCCTCACAACGATAAAGCCCATCAGCAGAGGTGCAGGACATGCACCCCTGCAGCTGACCATCGCCACGACCTTCCAGACGCAACATCTCCGAGAGGAACTCATCCCTAAATCCAGGATCCCCCTTTCCTTGACCGGCCCAATCAAGGAGTGGTGCATCCTGTAAGTCTAGTGTAAGTCGTCGTAACTCATGAGAAAAAAGACGTACCGAGGTTGGATAGCGTTTTGCAGTGACCTTTCCAGCAACATCTGAAACCGGCGCGACTTCTTCTTCCTGAGCGGGTTGATCAAGAGCTAGGATATCATCCACACCCTCTTCGTATAAGGCACTTGGGTTCCAATCGTACTGAGGAGGAGGGGAATCGCGAGTCAAAGTCCCTTTTCGTGGGGATGCAGGGGTCGGCTGGACGCGAAGACCATCACCAGTGATGTGGAAGGAACGGGCATGTGGAATGAGCATCTCGTCGTCAGAGTCATCGCGTAGTACAACAAACGTCTGTGTCTTGTGTTTGCCTCTCATGAGAAAATCAAGGGTCGAGAGGGATGCTTTGTCATCTGGCTAATACAGAAGCATTTACAAAGCAAATGGACTAAGATGTCGGTAAACTAACGAAACGACGACAAAAAGTTCGGTGGAGCTAAGAATATAACTACAAGGCCTTCAGTGGTGCACGAAATATTTCAACTTCCGGGTTACCAGCTGCACGTGCGCGCGCAAGTGAGTCCTGGACCACCTTTTCAATCTCCTTGAGCGCCTCTTCACAGTCCGAGCGATCTTGAGGTACCTCCAAGGTACGCATGATCTCCTGAATAGCAACGTTCATCAGAACCATCCAAGTCGGGTTTGCTGGTACAGGACCATCAACCATCACTGGGAAACGGAAGGCCAGCCAGCGGATCTGACCCCTTAGCCACTAAGTAGATAGTATGTGAGCGGCACATCTAGACCAGAACAATGAATGCGCGTACCTTTTCACGTTGCTTGCGAATGAAGTCTGTGTACTCAGGGTCTTCGCTGTAGTCCGCCTTCACAACAATCTGATGCTCGGGGTCTGGAAAACGCAGGAACCAGACCTGGTATGCACGCTCGAAAAATGCCTGGGTTTGTCCCTGAGTGTATGCTTCATAGAAGCTCGGAAGAAGTAACTTCAAGAGCTTCACTTGAATGGCACGCTTGTTCCGGCGAGAGAGGTATACGCCAAGGTCATGGAAAATCGAGATCTGAAGTGATCGATCGTTATATCAAGGGTTTAAAAGTCTATTTTAAACATACCTCAGGCTCAGGGTCCTTTAGCTTCCGGCTTGGTACCTTGAAAGTGATGTCTGGAGCGACGATAACAGTGACCTTGGGTTTGAGTGAACGCTTAACTCTGGTAGCCATGGTAGAAGGTTGGAGAAATTGGAAGGATGAGGGGACGTTGTGTGGTATTACATACGACTAAACCTTGTTTGGCTTCAACTATACAGTTGATAAGATACCAAATTTTCTGGATGGTTGCACAAACATGTCTGATACTAAATGAGAATACTACATGGGCAAACTAGATAACTAAGATAAAATTGTAACTACGAATCCTTGACTTCCTGGCAGATCTGGTACCCATAGATGCCGCTTTCACGCCAATCAGCCATCTCATCCAGGGAGGTGAGTGCATGGCTATGGACATCCTTGATGAGAGCGAGAATGTGCCTAAAATCTTTCGCTATCAATTCAGCCCCTTTCCACTCTTCGCCGCACCCGAATTCTTGAAGAACGCTGTCGAGCGCCTTGTGAAGGCCTAGGATGAACTCCATCCAAACCTTCTCTTGCTCCTCTAGAATCTCTAGGGCGAGATCCGGACGGTCAATACAAGCCTTGACGACAAGGTCGATGTAGTCATACAAATTGCCGTTGGTCATGTAGTCGAAGTGAATTTTGGACTCGAAGATAAACGTCAACGGATCTTCACTGTTAAGGCCGAGTCAGGGTTGTTTCATAGGCACAAGTAGAGAATTTACCTGAGTTTCTCTGGCGGTGCTAGCTCTACAGGCCCGGTTTCCTGCGGTTTAGAAGATTTTTGCTTCAATTCCTCCTTGGCCTTTTTTCGGTATCGATGACGCGACCGACGGCGGATTTGTTTCTTATTTCTGAAGCATGGGTTGAGGGTCGTGCTCTCAAAGAACTAAATAGACTCACTTTTCATAATATCTGTTGTCCTTCGTGCGCTTCGCAGAAAGTTTCTCATCTGGAGTGTTATACAGACAAAGACGACCCATGCTGGTGTAGGTAATAGGTATGAGCTTTGACGCGTGAAATATTGCGGTAGTAAGCAAATGTAAACACCACAACTTCGTCCGACCTATTGCACATTTCGAAAGGGTTTTGAAGATATAAAATAAATAGATGACATAGGTAGAGAGCCTTGATGAACCTCTCTTCAAATCTGTAATTTTCTGGAGGAAAGACCTTGTTGAGGTTTCAAGCGCGTCGAAAACATTACAAGGTGTCGTAATCCGTTACTCGTAAACCGTGATCTAACGGTTTCTACTGAGCACTCGTCCGACTTTTATGCTGCACTACAGGTACTGCCCAAAACTCTTGGCAATTACATTCTAAAGTATGTTGAGGGCCCATATACAAAATTTCTAGCGGTAGGATTAAGAATTGAGACCGCTGGAGCTCATCTAATTTTTGTTTCTTATGGAGGATTTCTATTTTGGGGAACGCCAGGCATTTCACATTCATAGATTCGAAGCCTTTCACATTCATGGATTCAGTTGGATTTATTCACCCTTAAGTCAATATGATTACGGGCGAACAATTTTTTTTTTGGAGAATATTACCACTACTACATGAAAAGGAGACAACATGACTTCGTAGTGTGGTAAGGCAGGCTAAGAGATTGGGCTACGTAACATGAACTTCAAAAAAATATACCAACGTCGCGCCACTAGCTCAGAGTCTCGCCGTGAGCCCTGCGTTCACAGCCGCGTCCATCCGGTTCTGACCTTCCTGAATACTATCGACGCGGCCAAAGACCGCACGCGAGACCCCGATGACAAGGGGGGAAACGTGCTCCCTATCAAGCGTGAGAGTAAGAGTAAGCCAAAATTCTGTGAGATTTGAAAATCGACACTTACCACCCTGCAAAAACGCCAATGTCTCTCCCGCGAGTGATACAGTAGAAAGGTCCTGCAGCGCCAGCGGCAGGCAGATGGTAATTGACTGCAGGGGCTGTCGTTAAGGTTGGCGCGGCCACAATGGGCGTTGCAATGATGGGCATTGCAACCACGGTTGTGACAGGGTTGGGAGCAGTGACAGTGTTGGTCGTGAGAGTGGGTACGGCCGTGGCCATCGTAACAACAGGCGCGAGAACAGGCGTGGCTGCAGCCAGCGTGGCAGGGGGTGCAACAATAGGAGTAGCGGCAGCCGGTGTAGCAACAGGCGCAGTTGCGGCGTTGGCAATAGAGGCGGGAGTAGAAACGGCGTCTCTGAAACTAGTCCGAGCCGTGGTCACAGCAGCTGAATCAGGAGAGGCGGCTGCTGTAGTCAGTGGCTCGTCGAGTGCTGTTTCCTCTCCATACGTTTCCGCTGCCGTGCTGGAAGCGGCAGTTGTGGCATCCGCGGCATCCGTGGTGGAAGTGGTAATTGTGGCATCCGTAGTGGGAGTGGTTGAGATGTTGAGGAGGGCTTGGATGAGTGTCAACGCAAGGCCAGGCGTGATTCTAAGCGAACGAAAGCTTTCTTCGATGGCTAGAGCGGATTGAGTATGGAGTATGAATGGAAGGCGAGTCCTTTACCTTCGACTGATAAGGGGGAATCAGTGTGGTCTGATGCACCATTCCCAGTAAGTTGAGCCATCGTAGAGGTGCGTAGATTTAGGCGTTGATGGAAAGCTGATTGAGGACGAAGATGTTGGGGGATAATATGAAAGGGCAACGGCTTTATATCTGGGGTGAAAAACGTCTTCTCAGATTCCTTCCCACAGCATGGTAAACGTAAAATGAGCAATGTCTAGCCAAATAATCAATAAAGACGTACAGCTCGGACTACCTTCGATTGTGCAATCGCCCACTCTAGATCCTTGCCATGGCTGCTGTTGGTTCCGTTGCCTGTCAGAGTGAAAAAAAAACGTAAATGAGTTTCGAAGTTTAGCCCAACGGATACGTACCATTGGCGATAACACCCATTGTTTGATTCCCTACCTAAAAGCTTGCTATGGCTGCCGTCAGTTCCAGCGTCGAGGAGCCTAAAACCTTGTGAGTCGAGTTCGTGATGTTACATGCTGGGCGCTGAGTGCGAACATCAACATTGCAGGGTCGATGCACAGCCACTGCTCCAGCCCTTAACACGCAATTGGGCGACTGGAGTGCGCCTCGAGTTTCTCCAGGGTTACATTGAAGATTATAAGGTCGCGCTCACTCACCCTAACCGCGAAGCATGCTCTGATCTGATCGACAAAATCGTGAACGCATGGTTTGAAAACTTCCACTGGACTCTTACTGTCAAGGAGGATCCAGCAGTCGTCAAACCACGCGTGCCTCTTGGTGAAGGAGGCTTTGAAAACCTATCTGCTGAAGATAGCGTTACGAAAGGCAAGGTAATCGTACGGATGCGCACTGTAAGTGGGTTAGTGTGTTATTCAATCTCGTCACTTAATGTCCTCATCAGTCGCTCACCAACTGGTTTGATCATCACACCAAACGAGCTGCCAAGAAATCTCCCAAATCAGCCGCTGGTAGTCCCGCAGCTATTCTTCTCAACAGGCTGCTCGGTGCAGACTCCGGCCTGCCCAAACAGATTGCTGGATGGGCGGCGTGGGGGAAAGCAAACTTTGCGTCTATGAAGTCGGCATTTGAAGAAACGTTTTCAGCGGGGGGGAAGCCGGAATCTCAATGCGCGTCGGAGTGCAACAAGTTCAAGAAACTCGAATTCGAGAAGTTAAGCGAGGAGGAACAAGAACTATGGAATGAGAAGGCGAAGAAAGATCATCAGTCGGTGAAGGAGGCCTACAAAAACCGCAAGGACAACCTACCCGAATTGTTGCCTCCAAAAGAGGCTCAGTTGTACGTTTGTTTGATTTCCTACATTCGTCGTCGCGTTGATTCTTTTCCATTAGAATTCTCAATAACCTTCACAATGTCTTGGGCCCGGTGATACAAGGGCTGGGGCAAGCTCTGGGGATGCATGTTACAGTTTTGTTGGGGGGGCCTGAGCCGAGGAAGAAGGGTGTGCTCAACGTCATAAGGTGATTGTTTTGTGATCTAACTTATCAATGCGACTTTCTGAATATGTTTTCAGTCTACATCAAGGGTTGAACAAGGCACCAGTCCCGAAACCATGGGGGTTAGCTGATAAAGAGGGCTGCAAAATTGTTACGGCACAGTTCCTCGAATTTATCAAGACCTGCTACAGTCCGTTCACGTTTTATTTTGCAAACAAACCCTGGTGACTAATATAAAATACTTTAGCACCTGAGGAACAACGAGCGCGTGCTCTCGACGAAAGTGATATCGTCGCAACTTCCACCGACCCCATCGCCTCTACCTCCAACATTGACGGGGATGGCGCTGAGTCGGACGAAGAAGGCGCTCAATCCTCTCCCTCAGATTTGGTTTCAACCTCAGCCGCCACCGGAGATAAGGGAAAACGTAAGAGAGGCGGGAAGGGGTCGGTTAAACGTCAGAAGAAGCAGAAGAAGCGTCGCACTGCGGCTTCTGATGATTCGAATGCCGAGGATGACGACGAGAACTACAACGAGGATGTGGATGTTGTAGAGAGCGGCAGAGGAGAGGAGCTCACCAGCGACGACGAGGACGAGGAGCGCACAAGGACCAGTTCCAGACAAGGCACCAAAGGGACAACGATGGATCCCTCGCGCTTCATTGGGGATAATGAGACAGGCATGGAATCAGCTGTCAACCGTAACGTTGATACAGCTCTTCCATCAGCCATCTTTCCTGAGCCGGCTTCGGTTGAAGATATCGCCCACGCCCCCACCGTTCAGCTGTCAACTTCGAATTCTGGAGCCGCTCCCCTCTCGACGGACACGCTGCTTTCTGGAGCCGCTCCCCCCTCCACCGACACGCCACCCCTTACAATTGAAGGTCCTCATTCTGTGACCCTCCCTCCCGTGGACGTGAAATGGCTGGCGTGGTTTGGGAAGGCATACGCACAATTGACATCTGGTAATCTTGGACGAACCTTCTCGGCAACAATCTTGAAGTACATCGAGTTTGAAAAGCGTACCAGCTTCGGCATCGGAGTAGCGGGAGGTGGTTTCAAAATTGACAAGAGGCCGAATGAGGTGGGATGGTGGGTTGCTCGTGGCCGCAAAGTCACGCCAAAAATTACACTCGAGAAGCTGCCGGCGTTCGAGCAGGCATGGTGGGCATGGTGGAAGGGTTTGCAACCCATGGCGCGTGGGGCAACTGAGGTGGATGGGTTCTTGGATGCGACACATCGCGGCCTTTTGGATGGGGAAGACGGATGGGCCTGTGTTCGTAAGCATGGGCAGAACGGCTGGTACACCGTTCTCGCAACTTTGGTGTGGTGGGCTACCACCCTCGGAGATGACCATTCATCCCATGCTGGATGGGTAGCTGCCGTGGAGGATGTCAGCTGGGTCTTGTCTCAGGTTCTAGGCTTGTCGGATTCGGGCTCGTCGAGGTAAGTTTATTTGTGAACTTACTTGCCATACTCTAATTGACTTTGCTCTAGTCTTGTCTCTCAAAAGCCCGCTGCGTCGACTCCCCAAAAGCGTGTACGCTCGACTCTCGTTCCTCAGGTCCCGGCCATTCCCCCTGCCAAGAAGCGCAAGTTGAGGGTATAGAAATTGAGGCCACTCGCCGTCCATCTATCCGTCTTCGCCTGTCTGTCACCTTCGTCATGCCCCAATTTTGCTGTTTTTTTTTCTTCGTCGTGATTTGAACCATGTATACTGCCATCTTGTCGTATCATATCTTGCTGTATAAATATTTCTTGTTGTATATGCTGGAGCTCGACACTTTGAACTGGAATTAAAGATTGCAATGATCTACTAAAAATAAATCATAGTGGTGGGTGACACAGAAAAGTTGAAACAACCATATCACAGTGTAACCTAATATAATAGAATGATTTTGCACCCCAAGGATCGTTCGCGAAGGAGAGAGAAGTGGTTTGTGGGTCACGTGATGGTTGGTTGAAGTCGCGCAAGTGACGTGTCGCGTCGCTCTCCAACGCCGTTCCGCTGCTGTTCACCCCGTGTGGCAGATATTACACATCGGAAATGAATAATAAGTAGTTTAGCAACAGATGTTACATACCTACTGCTGTGGTGTACCTACAGTGTACCCCTAGTGAAAAAAAAAAAAAAAACATATAAATACAACAAACATATCAGTGCGGAAGAACGGAAATCATATGGCAGATGTGTTGAGGGAAGGAAACACATCCGCCGTATGATTTCCGACTGTCATTGATGGACAGCGACAGATATTGATGAAGGATTTGCAATATTACATCAAAACAATAATAATTGATGGCAGAACCAAGGACAATCACAACAAGAACCCCGTTCTGATCCCAAAACAAACCTAAGAAGTGTGATTCTTCAGAAACCTATCCTAGGGGCCAAATTTACTGAAAAAAACCAATTTTTTTCGGAATTCTGAAGGCCAACATTTATAAAAATGGAATGCACAAAAGATTGCTTGAGGACAGACCACAACATCCCACTACCTGGGCTATAGGACTTTGTGCATGTATGCAGGTCTTTTTGGTATTTAAGTACAGCCTAGGCTGATTACAAGGGACCCGGCTCCTTCTTCACCATTCACATCATCCTCATAATTGACTGGAACATGAGCTTCAATTATCAGCACCAGAAACGCTGCCCATCGCCACCGTCCTTGCAAACTCTCCGAGGACCCTTACGTTAGGTCGCGAAGGATTAATCAGCGGTGGTGGATATCTGTGCGAGTGTGGGACTGAATCGGAGGGAGTTTGCCCTTGTACAGGAACGCCAGAGTGTAGGAAGAGCGTCGATTGTGTTACGCCGCTGGGACAAGAAATTGATTCGCAATCATCCCAGGAAGGAAAGTGAAACGACAAGTAGGAAGGCGAAAGCAGATCGTTGGAATTCTGGTACGGTTCTCTCGCAAAGTTTCCCCGGACATTTTCTGACTTCATCGCAGGTATTGCAATGATCCACTCCCTCGTTATTGGATTGACTCTGGCCATCACATCTGGATCAGATTTTGGTCTGTCTCCTTCATGGTTTCTTCTGCAAGTTTACTGATGTCCTTTAGCTTCGTTGACAACTGCAATCATCTTCCACCAGCTTTTCGAAGGGCTCTCACTAGGGATTCGTATCGCAGCTCTTTCCCGAAAAGATAATAAAGCAGACGATGAAGAGACAGGGTCAAGTAAATCGTCTCCAACAATACGTATGGCACAGCCTTCAAGTACTACAATCGACGACGAAGAAGCCGCGAAGCCACAGTGCAGAAAGCTAAGTCCAGCAAAACAAACTTCAAAGATCAGCCCGTTTGCAGCCTGGCTTCACCACCACCACCACCATCATCAGAACCACCATGAAGGGTCGGATTCAACGTTGTGGGAACGGGATTCGAGTTCACCAGGGGACACAAAAGAGCCAACTCGGGGAATCGACTGGCTCAAATTGACCCTCTCGCTTCTCTTCACCATCACGATCCCTTTAGGCATGGGGGTAGGCATGGTTGTCTGAACTCGTCATAACGGGGCAGTCAAAAGAATGGTGTGTACCACCATTCGACAGAGAGCTGGGTGCAGGACTAACATTGATCTTCATTCAGCAGAAATGCTCTTGACCCAGGGCCTAATGTCCGCCATATTGGCAGGACTGCTCATCTACGCCGCAACGGTGGAGATGATCGCTGGAGACTTCGTGTTTGGGGACGTGGTGGGACATGGGCACCATCGCCAGGCCCCAATGCCAAACAAAGTGAGTGCGGGGAAGGAGAAGGAGAGGGTGCCGTTGATCATGATCATGATGAGGTGGAAGGGCACGGAGATGAGCATGGACATAATGGACACAGGGCTTCCTCTATGGGGAAGAAGGCTCTTGTGGTAGTGAGTCTTCTTGCGGGTGTGCTGGGTATGGTACATGTTGGGTTAGTCGAGTGAGTTCCGCGTCAGTATTAGGAGAGGGTCTGGGGTTGATCCTTGTGTATTACCAATGAGTTCTTACTACTAGAACTCTTAGCTTTCAGACAATGTATCAATGATCATGCTTGCCTTGCACGCACCTCGGTACCACCAAATCGCCTATATTGTGGACAATTTCTGACCTCTGTACTCATGACTCAATTCAAAGGGAACTCCTAATGCCCTGCAAAGCAATGAGGCACGTACCGCGAGCGAAAATGCTTGTCGTGTATCACTCACTAAACCTCTAACCGACCCTCCAGAACAGCCTGGTTGTCATTGTCCAGTGGAGCTTTATGGTCTTTTGGAATAAGCAGCGTGTTGTTGTGCACTCGGCACATGTGAAGCCAAATATCTAGCGTCTTGGATACTTCTTCAAGCCTTCGGCAGCCTCCCTCCTGAGCAGTGTATGAGTTAGTTCTATTCAGAAAGAAAATTGAACAACAATCAGATATATAACGCTGTTCCATTACCAAAGTTACAAATTACCCTTCGCACTTCTGGACAACTTCTCAAAATATCATGAGCATGGTCGGGTACAACGACCGTTTGCACACTGGGAGATGTTCGGCCTTCAAAAGCCGATTTCAGGCTACTGGTCACCTTGCCAGCATATACGGAAAGAATCGACAGTGTGTGTAGGTTAAGTAGAGGCCTGAAGACGACTGACATAGGCGGGCAGGACTGTTGCCGTTGAGCAACGTGGAAGTATGACACTCACACACCTGTTTATTCAACGGTAAATCACATTTGACTTGATGGATGAAATACAGGCACGCACTGGACATGAGCAGCGTATTGAGGGTTTTGCGCGAGGCCTTTGCTTTTCCTCTCCAATGATCTGGTGAGCCAAAGATTCCACGCAGTTTTCTGGGATCGGGAGGTGCAGACCTCGACGCACTCCAAAAGCAGAGGCAGAAAAATCAATCTCCATTGTTGGCACGTCTGAGAGAGAGCTCTGAGGAGTTGGTGCACTCAAGAGGGGAAGCGGGTAGGGTGCTGTGGGAATATACCCCATAGAGAGGGACCCCAACCAGCGGGTGTGAAAATATGATAATATTTCCATAAGGAGTCACAGGCAGCCCTAAGGCACTTGATCTGTTATTGGGCAAGACGGCCTCGAGTCCAACGAGACTCAAGAGTTTCGCACCGACCACATCTATCGACGAGAGTGTCGCGCCGACCGCAGGCTCTAGTCTAGCGCGCTTTGCACGTCGGGGTGGCATGATGGAGAGGCGAATACGATGGTTCCTGACTGAGATGAAAACAACCAAAAAACAAGCCTTTTTTATAATGGCTGTCAGCTCGAAGAAGTCCTTCCAAAGGAGTTGTCTGCAAAATGAGCGCTCACGACCATGTCTGTTCCAGATCACTTACATACCTTTGCGATCTAGCCATCGGACTTGGCGATTTCAGCTTCGTTTCAGCTTGGTGTCTCTGACTTCACCTTGGAAACCGTGCATTTTTAAACTTGAAGACAAGTTGTTAACTTCACGATGAGATAAGCGAATTCCTGAAATTTACCTTTGCAATTTAGCCATCGGACTTGATGATATTTCGCTTTTGATGACAATTTGACGAACTAGACCTTTGTTTGGGTTTGTTACACTTGGTAGATAGCTCGTTTGTCGTCGATAATGAATTTATGGGGAGGTTCTGCTCGTCCGTTCTACCTTGTAACGAAAATATGGCCCTCGAAAACCTTGGCTGCAGGACTTTGAATTTACTTGGAGACCTTTGAGCACAGCTTTACACTTGAATGCGTTCACAGATTTTGTGCAGCCCATATTACTGTCGCTGTCAGACGTTGTCCGGTGGCAGGGCTCACAGACGGCATGTCCTGCACTCGGCCACCTCATCCTCAAGTCTGAAATAATGCTTCGATGTAGGTCTTCAAACACATCCTTTCAATATAAACCCCATTACAACACGATCCCCAGCAGCAAAAAGTATTACATCACTCTTTATGGCGGTTCTGGTGTTGGGGGTACGGACACAAACGAAGGCATGACGGTCCGCGAATGCCGGAAACACCTAAGTGCACCGGTAGGATGGAGGGACGAGGTTATGATTGGCATCATGGCAAGGTTCTGGGGGATGCATAAGGATATGCAGGAGGTGGATTATTGGGAGGCTATGCGGGACCTTGGGTTTATGGAGGTTTTGGAGGGCGTTGAGGGCGCTATGCTGGGTGATGGTATGGATGTGGACAAGAAGAAGCCGACGACGTACAAGAAAGCACAAAAACGAAACCGACCAACCCGGTCCTTTTGACACTCGAATCATTCCATAAGACGGCGGTGATGTATATATGGCTGAGCTATCGGATGCCAGTGGTGTATGCTCAGCAGGAGAAGGGGCGATGGGGAGGGAATGACGATGGGTGGGAAGGAAGGTGGGAATGAGCCTCGGTAAAACAGGCTGGGATTTTCCTGGAAAGGAATACTGTGATTTGAGATTGCTGAGAGCAGAGAAAAGTTCATGGCCCTTCGCGGTGCTTCACACCGCTCCTTGAGTGATGTACACTCGAAGGAGGTTCTAGTGGGCAGCTACGCCGGTTTTCTCAGAGCCGAATGGTTGGCTCGCCGTTGGGCCTTGACCTCAGTAAAAAAGGCTGGGATTTTGCTGAAAAAGGAATACTGTGATTCAAAATTGCTGACGGCCTGAATACTCCCTATGGTCTCGAGGTGAGGGTGGTCTCCTGTACTCTCGAGCTGGCGGCGGGAGTTTATCGGATTGAAGGTCTCAAGATGGGTAGCAGGGTGGACCATAATCGTCGCGAGGAAGGGGTTTCTTGCAGGATGAGCAGGATGATCTTGTTGAATGCGATCAATGAGAGGACTTTCAATGTGGTGACGACGTTGAGGGGCTCTATGGGGCTGTTGGCTCAGACATTTGCAAGGGATAGTCACAAATTTAAACTTACATGAACCAAGAACTTGAGAGTGGGGAGCGGCAACGCCTGCAAAATCAGCGTGACGCTTGTCCTTGTTTGGCTCCCACCAAACTTTACATCTCAGATGTATTAAGGTCTTCGCAAAGTGGTTTGTCCACTGGAAGAATCCGAAAACTTGACTCCCCTCGTTGGTAGTGATGCCGCATTTTTTAGCCGGTAAATTCTTGTTTTGCTTATAGAGAGTGTAATTATTATTCAAACTTTACATTCTTGGACTCTCCAGATAGATAGGAAGTAGATTTAAATTATTAAAAAAAGAACGTAAAAAAGCATTACGTTTTCGTTGAGCTATTTATGTTTAGCTGGTTGCCAAGTCACAGCTCAAATGAGCCAGCTTTTTTTCAAAGCCAGTTGAATCTCTCAATCAAATTTTGGTCGTTCTTGGCGATCTTTTTTTTAAAATTTAGATCTACTTCCCATCTACACGGAAGGTCCAAGAACATAAATTCGAGTGAAAACTCCACTCTGTATAAACGAAACAAAAAATAAGCCATTAAAAAAACGCGGCAACACTACTCGTTGGGTACCACTTTTAAAATCAAGGGTCTCCAATATATCAGGAAGGTTTAGACTGATTAGGATGATAAAGATTAGCTACGTAGCCTACCACCTGTGCTGCGTTAGTGAATAAAATACTGTTAACTTCTCTGACCCAGTCTCCCTCATCAAAGAATACAGGCCAGAAACTAACATCACTATGCTCTGAATAAACATAGCTATCCCAGACAGATCCACCCTCCCAATGCACCAACACTCCTGATCAACTTATCATGCTCAGGAACCTTGACAAAGCCCTGCACGTCTGTCATGGTAGCATCCTTGACTTCAATACCTCCTCTTCAGAACTCAGTCCATCGTCGTCCTCGACCTCCACTCTGCACAGAAGAGAATCTATCGTAAATTCTGGGATTGTGTGGTGTAGATCGTCGGATCGGGATAGGTGGAGAAAGCCTCAGAAACGGGAAGTGTCGAGATGAAAGCATCCGCAGCTTATCTGAATGGGCAGCTGTGTTCCAAGGGATGGCCCAGCTATCAATGGTGTGGATGGGGACAAGGCAACGACTCTATCTTAGTAGTAGTATTGTTTAGCTCTGTTCAACGAAATCCTGGCATACCTGGTGCACTTTGACTAGCAATCTGCAACTCCCCATCCTTTTTCAGCTTCTGTCATTGCCAGTGCACCTGTCTCTGGCATATGGCAGAATTTCAGTGGGTTTTCAAGCAAATATGATAGTCCTTTCCTGTGAGCGGCACCGATACACCGCACAGATCACATTGGACCAAATGTTGGCTTGGATTATTAGACAGTACTGCTTGGTGGTATTGCCGAATTGGTGAAGGCAGTCAATGAACTCAGGTGGTAAATAGCTTGAGTGTCAATGTCGGTTCTCCTTTTCAGCGTGACGATGAGAGTAAGGGTATACTGTAGCAAATGTCGAAGAAGGTACCTTGGTGTATGGTAAAGACACCATCATCCTAATCGGTCTATACCTTCCTGATATATTCGAGACCCTTGATTTCAAAAAGTGGTACCCAACGAGGGGAGTCAAGTTTTCGGATTCTTCCAGTGGAGGCCCCTTGGAGGACCCCGGGCAATGGTAGCAGAGGCCAGGTCACAATCCAGATGGATTTTGAAGAAATTTTGAAAAAGGCCAGGAGCCAATCCAGACGAAATTGACGAAAATTTCGAAACAGCCAGTGCCCTTCATCCGGACAAAAATTCCACCTCACTATGTAGCCAGGTGAGATGTCCAGACATATGTCAGCTATGGTGAAGTGGCTCAGCGCCAGTAGTCACCAGGCACCAGAGTTTGTAAAGCTCTCATGTTTGAATCTCCTGCTGTACTATTTTTTCCCAAAATTTTGGCTTGTCTGGATCTGTGTGTTCTAAATATTTTATTTTATTTTATTTGGTACAAGGAGCTCGAGCCCTCTCAACAACAGGGCTCTATTCTCGAGCTCTTCCCCGACGACTTGAATTAATTCCACACCCTACAAAAAATTGACAAGCAACTACAAGCGACATTAAACTTGAAGCTCTCACAAAGTGCTAGTGTGAAAATTAAGGCCCCCAGAAGCTCACGCTATTTCTTGTCCACAAAAAGCAGTCAAAATGGGCCTCAAATTCACTATGTTTGGGGCCTCAAATTCACTATTTTGGACAAAGGTCCACACGTGACTCGCCCAAAATGGAAGCTCTCTGTGAATTTTACAACGCAAAAGTTTTCGGCCCCAGAAACAGATAACATATGTACTACTGATGTAGCCAACGAAATTGGCTTCTTCTCTTCATTGCTGACAGTAAAATCTCCATCTTTGATATGAATGTTATTCCAGAAAATTTTCTGCCCTGTTGCACCCTCAAATCCGCTATTGTGGACAAACCTGGGGCCAAAATCGCCTTGAATCCACTATTCTGGGATAAAGATTGGCTAATTTTTCGGCCCTCAAATCCGCTATTTTTGGACAAGAAATGGCTTGAGCTTCCCGGGGCCTGAAAATTATGCTAGATAATGTGCTACTAGTACTAGATACCAGGTTGAACACAAGTGGCCTATTATTTGTAGTCATTGCCTTTTGGTGTTATTACGATGCCTGGTACCTCATTTCCTCGATTTCTGAAATCCCAAGCCTCATTGTGATATAGGATTGGAAGGGAATGCCCAGAGGCCATAGTCAAACAGTGGTATATAGCTAGATTTGGATATCTTACATAATATATTGATCTTTTGTCTTGAACCACCATCTTGTCAGCAGTCTTGCCATCCTCTTGCACTACATGTAGTGCTTTGTATATCTGTACTTCCTACAGTATGCATAATCATGTTGGGCCAGCTGAGTATCTTGTAACTGCTCATTGCTCACTCATGGGTGTTGATCCCAGATCCACCCATTCTTGCCTCCTCCTTCCCTCTTGGCTTCAGCTATGCGAGAAGTCAGAGTGAACGCTTCACAATGGTGGGGGCACCGTGGACTTCACCAAAGCATGGTTGAAGTCTGCATCTCTTGGTAGAGGGAGAGCTGGAGAGTTGTGGGAATGCGCCAGCTCATCACAGGAGGAACCTTAGCATGGATGGTAGCTGCTGCTCACGCACTTCGCGGCGGGCTTACTACTTCATGTGAAAGGGCTCATCCATCCTTCAGTTGGATGAACCATTGACTTTCACTTGTGCTTGCACAGCTGGTTGAGGTTTGTTCAATTGGGGTGCTGCGCTGACTCTGAGCAGCTGGGCTTTGGGATTTCGCGACTACGCGGCCTGAAGTCTACTGTGAGGAGAGTTCCTACTCACCTATGTCTGGATTCCGTGACTACGCGACCATTGACTTGGTGAGGAGGTTGCCTGCAACCAGTGTCGCCTGCTGCTTTGTGCTGCTTCACTGTCTCTGAGACTCCACCTGTTCCTCAACCATCTCCCTTGTCTTTTAGCATCTAGGCCTCTCAAGAACAGCCAGATGTTCATTGACATCCCTCCAGTTCAGTCTGCTGCTCTGGAAATTATGTGCTATGCCCTACTATGCTTCTCTCCCAATCTTTGCTCTTTTCTTGCTTGAGGAATGAGTGTTCTCATCCTCCTTACTTCTCTATGAACTCCCTTGAATGGCTCTTCTTGGTTTCTGAATGGTTAGAAGGGTTTGGAGTGGTTTTGGGTTGGATGGGGTTGATGGGACATCAACATGGGACTTATTCATGCCATATCTCGCCAACCGACACCCCGATTGCTCTCGTCTCTTTTGCGCTGGGAAGCCCTCGTTCACACCTTTCTTTGGGCCCCCTGAACTCGCCAAACGGTCACGTATTGGCTACGCTTCACCTAGTTCAGCCTGGTATGGCCAAAATGAACATATCTCGTCCGTTCTCGGCGAGATCCTCGTCGTTCCTTTTGTTCTTTGGCTCGTTTTGAATCCACGGTCAACGCGCTTCTGGGAAGCCTTTATACGTGTCAAACGGACGAGCGGTTCTCGTGTTACAGCACCATCCCTCCAACAACCTCTTACATGTGACTTGTTCATGTCATATCTCGCCAACCGACGCCCGGATCGCGCTCATCTCTTTTGTGTTAGAAAGCCCTCGTTCACACCTTTCTTTGGACTCCCTGAACTCGCCAAACGGTCATCTATTGGCGGCGCTTCCCCTAGTTCAGCCTGGTATGACCAAGATGAACATATTTCGTCCGTTCTCGGCGAGATCTTCGTCGTTCCTTTTGCTCTTTGGTTCGTTTTAAAGCCACGGTCAATGCGCTTCTGGGAAGCCCTTATACGCGCCAAACGGACGAGCAGTCCTTGTGTTACAGTGCCATCTCTTCAACAACCATTTCCCCATTCCTATTGTCATAACCTGCTCGCATCGGATGTTCTATAGCTCGTTTTAAACGTTGGATTCGTACCTTTCCGACGCACCTATTTATGTCGATAACGGACGACAGCCTGGTCTGCAGTATGCATTTACTCCAGAACTGCAGTTTCTGGGTATCACCTCTCTATCTCGACAACCACGGCTCGTCACGATATGCGAATTATACCGTTGGAAAGGCGTCGTTCGTAGCTTTCGAACGGGTATTTGATCTCCAGGAACGGGCTAGAAATCACTACGCTATGCTCAAACACATTTTTGGCTACCTCAGGATCTCCCCTCTATTTGGGGTGTTAAGACTTGATTGGAGGACTCTTATGGGCAGGGGAGACACCTCAACTGGTTGAGAGTTGCTGCTCGCACATTACGCGGCAGACTCTTCTTCAGTCATGGTAACCTTCTGGCTCTCTCAGAAGGCTGATTGCTGCTCGCGTGTTTCGTGGCGGATCAGTGTAGAGGAGTTAGTGTTTGGAAGTTAGGTTAGTTAACCGGAAAATAACCGAGACTGGACCGAACCGTAACCGATCAGGACCGCAAAAATTACCTAACCGATCCTAACCGTAACCGCGGTCCGGTTAGTGGTTAGGTGTCATCCCAAAATATTCAAGACCAAACAAAAACCGGTTAGGACCGGTTATAACCGGTCTTTGTGTCCTAACGTTACACACAAATATTCCCCTGTTTAAACGCTTTCTAACGATCCAAAAATCATATTTTTTAGTGGAGAATTGACATATTTACGGTGAATTGAAATTTAAGTGACTATTTTCCTGTCATCACATGTGTGATAATGTGACATTGATACAACAATGGCGATCCATGAGAAACGCTCGCAGGTCGGGTGTACTCGACCTGCGAGGTTGTTTATGAAAATCGTGCAAGGTGGTGTTTCACCTACACACGCCTCGCTGGTGCATGCAGCATAATGCTTGTATTAGAAATATAATATAGGTTTGTAATTATGTTAGTACAGAGAAATAACCGGTTAGGACCGGTCATGTAACCGACCGCTAACCGTTACTAACCGATTATATCGGTTAGTAGCAGTCCGGTTCGGTTATTTTGGGTTTCGTGGCACAAGGTAACCGGTCTCGGTCTCGGTTAGAGCCCTTGAGGGCTCAATAACCAGACCGGACCGGACTTTCAAACACTAAGAGGAGTTGCAGCTCGCGCATTACGTGGCAGACTCTTCTTCAATCATGGTAACCTTCTGAGTCCCTCAGAAGTACTGATTGCTGCTCGCGTGTTACGCGGTGGATCAGTGTTGAGGAGTTGCTGCTCGCGCATTACGCAGCGGACTCTTCTTCAATCATGGTAACCTTCTGGCTCCTGATTGCAGCTCATGTTTTGCAGCGGATCAGTGTTGAGGAGTTGCTGCTCGCATATTATGTGGCAGACTCTTCTTCAATCATGGTAACCTTATAGATTGCTGCTTGTGTGTTGCATGGCCTGTGTCCACTCTGGGGGGCAAGATTTATGACAACATTTTTTTTTTCTTCCCCTTTCTTTCGACCTCCTATCATTCCTACCCAACATGGCACCACCTCTACCTACTCTGACACCAACTTAGGATCACAGCTTGTAATTTTCCACTGCACAATCTCTTCGCCTCTATCCTCCCTGGCTTGATTCTTGAGATTCGCACACTGGAAAAGTGGGGGGCTGTATGGGAGTATAGGTGGAATATGGGAGGAGAGGCACAAGCCTCTATCCCATTACACACTCCCCACATCCAGATCACACACCACAATGGAAGCAAGCTACATCACCTTGATGGGTAGAGGGAGTTGAGTTGGGATCAACGATCTGAGTGGAGAGGCACAAGCCTCTATCACACTATACATGCCTTGTACCCAGACCACAAGTATGATGGAAGCATGCTACACCATCTTGATGGGGAAAGGCAATGGAGTTGGGATGGATGACCTGGAAGCCATCCACTTGCATGGTTTCCTAGTTAGTGATTGTCATGGGTTTCGCAACCCGTGCGGGTAAGGGTAAGGGTACATGTGGGTAGGGGTACGGGTTTGATCTTCACTACCCTCGCCAAACCCGTACCCGTGACAGGGGTTGGCGGGTACCCGTAGCAATACCCGTCATATAAATAGTCATTTTTTCTTTGGGCAGATCATGGTCCGTGTCACTAAGTCACACGTAAAAATTACAAGCAATATTTCCAAGTTGTTTTAAAAATATATAACGAAGGTTTTCGTCCTAAGTTTATTCATTAAGTCATTGTTTGTTTGCCTCGAGGTCTCGCATTAAGGTCAAAAATATGTAGATTATCACCAAGACATGCGTATAACATACAAAAAAAGTCTCTAAGGTATTTATAATATATCTACGGTATAGGTAATTTATCGCCGACTGTCTCGGGCAGTGACTACCAGTTGATTTGTGGCGATTTTGACATCAACCTTCCTCAAAAGTGTTGTTGATTTCGTTTTGTAAGGACGAATCAATGTTATTCGTGTATTTGGGAGCAAGTACAGTGTATCATGCCGAAACTAAGTAATACAAAAGTACGTATGATTATATCTACGGCACACCTACAGTAAATACGAGGAGGGGGGTGTACATTATATCTACAGTGTACATTAATACTATACTACATTACTCTATAAACGTGGAGGGAAGAGGGAGTGGAGAAGGAAAGAAAAGAAAGACGTACGACGCTCAAGCGCTATATATCCAGGCCACTTTAGGGCGAGTTTGGGTTTAGGGCCGGCATAGAACGTTGAGGGCAGGCGTGGAAGAACG